TACATCTTGCTTACAAGTGCTTTTATCTTGTAGATTTTTCAAATAAATTCATTATTGTGTGAGGCATTCTCAGGTAATGCTGATGAGCATCTGTAAAAATCTGAGTTGTTATACTGCATAAGGAAAGAGATTTTTTTATGTAGGTTAATAATGAATAATATACCATGTGTTAAAACCTTCGGTCGTAACAATGTTTTGGCTTTTTTATATGTCTAATGTTGGTAACTGGTGTTGAAACAACTGCTCTATGTGGCTAAAAAATGAATTAGTGTATTGTTCAGATCTGTGATGCAAATACAAAATTCATGCCTTTGAATTTGCATTCTGCTATTATATGTGGCAAGGTCAAATTAAAGGCGCGTTCAGCAGCAGCATTTGCTGTTACTTTTCTGCGTCTCAAATTAAATGTAACACACTATAAGTGGGTGTTCCTTCTACGAAATCACTTCTAACTATTAGACCCTGGAATGTCGTTTTATGGGGATGAATTATGTGAATTATGGTGGGCTTTGTAAGTCACTGTACCCCTGGCAGCTGGGCCTGGGAAAGCAGCAGATACCTTGATCTCAGCCCCCTATGCACACATGTGCTTTCGTGTTACCTTTTTCACTGAGCAGGTGTTTAGCTCCTGTGAAAGTAGAACTACTTTCCTCCCCCCCCCTTCAAGGCTTCACAGACAACTTCCTCAAAAATTGTCACTGGAGTTTTTCTTTTGTTGTCCCACTTACAGAAAATTTCAGAACTTGCAAAAGATCATCCAACTGAAGAAGGCCCAAAATCTTTATCAGCTTCCTGCTAAGCTGAAAATACTGCAGGCCAGCAAATGCCAAAGTTTATCTGTTAGAAAATTTTTTTCATTAATAATGCTTTGGTGATAATCTTTAAATTGCATAGTGATGACATAATTTCGATATTCCAATAAGAGTTTTAAGCACTTTATCAATAATCTTTGCAGCTACTCAGTGAGCCATGTAATCTATAACAGTTGAATACCCTGAAGACGATAGTCTGAAGAGTTTCTTCAGCTGATTTTCACAGTCAGTTACCATTAGATTTGCTGATTTCTTGATTTTTTTCAATGCAATTACAGTGAAGGTAGTGTGTGGTCTGTTTTAATGTATATAAGATGAAAGCAAACTTTCAGGACCACATCTGTATTGTGGTCCTGAAAATAGAGCAGAACTATTCAGCTCCTTCTTTAATGCTTTGTGTGGAAAAGTGAATCAAGAATTACTGTGTAATTGGCATGCAACATTAATTCAGTAATGTGACTTTTTATGATACAGTGCATGCCTGTTCCAGTGAGTACTGTTCTGAATGGTAGCCACTTAGCTGTCAAAACTTTGGCAGCAGCTCTAGAAAACCCTGCAAAATAGAATAGCTGTATGAAGGAAGGCTGCAGTGTGAAGGAACAGGATCTTGTGCATTGAAAGAAAACTACCTCTCAGCTAATTAGAAGGAGGATGCAGCCACTGAGCATCATAAAAGAATTTGCCACTTGTAGCATCTTGGAGAATTTTGAGGTGTCTTGCCCATAAAATGGTCTTTCCATCCTGCTGTTCGTAATATAGCACAGTCCGGAACAGAGAGAGATGTGGTCTCTCATTTTCACAGGCAGAAGCAACTGAGGAGTGGTTACTGGCCTTCCGATGCTTTGCTGTGAAAAATAAGATAAAAATCTATTGCACATAGAAGCTGTTTGTTTGTTTTGTTGGTCCTTCTGTTTTTTCAGTAGGACCAATCCATTTTACAAGCATCCAGAAATGTAGCAGGTGTCTCACTTACATGAAAGCAAGCTGCAGTCTTAGCCCCTAAGTATCTTACAATTGAAAATTTTCCTGGTATTTGACAGCAAATTAAATAGGAAAATATTTGAAAGAGGATCTGGTAAGGCTGGTGCTCTTGCAAATATTAGAATGAGTGATTTTTTTATTTTTTCTTTTTCATAGCATACAACATATTAAGTCCATTAACTTCTTAGTTTTCTCTCAAAGATGAGAGGTGTTAAAGAACTGGCAACAATAATGTTTCTGAAGTATATTCTCTTCTTGATGCAACTGTTAAATTGTGTGAATGTACTTTAATTTTTATTTTATTTATCTGTGGAGTTGTCAGTTCCCTTACTGTCAGTATTTCCTTACTGAAGAAAAGGATATAAAATACCATCTAAGTTGGTTAGGACGGTTCCTTGTTTAGTGACTAGAGTACTTTGGAGACAAGTTGGGTATAATTAGAGAAATACATGTGTAAGTGCTGGTGCATTCCCATAGCGTTCCTCAAGTTGTAGTTGCAACTATAAAAAAAAAAAAATTCTTGACCTTGGGTTTTTTCTTGGGTCGTTGTTGCCCCACCTTTTATTGGTCACTTACAAGTGGTCATATTGTTTCTGTCAGTCATGAGGAATTTTCAGGTAATTTTTTTGGGGGCTTTTTCGATGATCCACAGTAGATACTCCAGAGCTTTATGGAGGTCTTCAGAAGCGCTGAGCCTGGCAGGTGAAGGTAGAGAGCTTACAAGACACCTTATGAGAAGCCACTGTAGGAAGCAGACTGGCTTGTTGTGCTGCTGGTATCGTGTGCTCCTGAGGGTGCTCTGTATCGGCCCAGCTTTCTGAAGAGCTGATGGTGATGTGCCCAGGTCCTGTCCAGATATGACACGAGCCACAGTGCTCCAGACTCCCTCCCTCTCTAAGGCAGCTAGAAGCAGCTCCGATGTTGCAAACCAGAGATGTATTCATATCCTTGGTTTAAAAATACATAATTTCTTTATAAAATAAATTATATTTATCAATGCAGCTAATATTTGTTTATTTTGCCACATTTCTTAAAGATTTGGTAACTTGTGTTTTACTAAATTACATTCCTTAATTTTCAAAACTCCTGCGTAAGTGAATCTCTCAAAGAATTAATGTTGGTGTTGGTTTGGGTTTTTTCCAAATATTCTAGTCTTTTTTTCCTAGCGCGTGACAGAGCTGTAGAAGGTGTTATGAATAGAAGCTGAGCAATGGTTCACAATGAGCAATGTACAATCTGTTAAGTGTTGTCTTATTTTGCTGTGTTATAAGTGATTTGGACTGTGAGGAAGTGAGAAGCTTAGTTCTGCCAGGAAAACAAAAAATCCTAAGGGGTTGAGAATGATTTCTTATTTATTTGCTTAGCTCAAGAAAGCTGTGATTATGATGGATTCAAAAAAGACTGGGATAACCCACAGACTGCAAAATGCATTCAGTTCCTGGCCAAGTGCCTATGTCCACCCTGTGGAGGACAAACCTCCAGAGCAGACTGGCTGTGGATGCTCCATGTAGCAGCTGGTTGTGGGTCTCCTGTGGGCCTGGGTGATCCTGCGGCCTGAAGATCCAGTTGCTTAGTTGTGGTTCCTTCAGACACTCAGAACCTAGGGGAAAGAGCGATCATTATCCTGCAACTGCCAGGATTGTCATATGAAGCGTGAAACTGGGGACTCTACGTTGTGTACTTGGTGCGCTAGCAGAACATGGAGATGCTTGAGAAGTCAGGGTTTGTTATGGTAGCGTCCAAGCAATGTGTAGGAAGGAGTGCGCTCTCTTACTGGTACAGTGCTCTACCTCATGGCCTCTTCCTTCTGCTTTTCAGGAGGGCTCACTGGAGTGAGCTATCCCCAGAACCACTGCTTTTTGTTTGTTTTATAGGAAACTCACTGGCTTTCTCTAAGAGTGTAGGAATGAATAGCACTTATGTGGTGTGGATGTTCAAGGTAACAGATTATTGGAATGAATTAGGAGCTCAGTTGTTACTTGACAGCGCAGTCATCTTTTTGCTATCTCTTGAGAATATTTTTAAGTAAAGGCAGAGACACTCATAAGCCTATTTCTAAGGTTTATTGAGATCCCATGTTTTCAATATCTTGGCTAATGAAGAACTATTTAATTAAATTATAGTATCTGCCTTGCCAAGTTATTTGGTGCATGAGTGGTTCCACTTGCGTTAGCTAGTATTACTTGGATTTTAAAGTGAATTTTGTGAAGAAGCTCTGTTTCTCCTGTAAATTGCATTTTGCTTCT